CCTTTTCTAAGAGTATGGGTACCTCAAATATCAATTCAGTTGCGTTAGTTTGGTGTCATGATCTTGGCACTGATGATTGGTCTGATTACTCATTTCATTCACCTGCCTATCCCCGCCCAGTTCTCTTTACTGTTCATCTGTTTTACCTGCTTCAGGCTCTAGTCATCGGTGCCAGATTATTTTGAGCCTATGGTGAGAGTTCTCTAGCGAACCTGATGTTGTTGATTACCTGATCCTGACCCGTTCTTCCTCTGGACCTCTGAGTCTGCCTATCCCTATTCTGATCTGTTTGCCTGAACTGTCTTTGGACTCCTGCTGGATTTCCCGACACCGTACTACAACTCTTTGGACCTCTGATCTCATGGCTCTGACTCCCGAGCGTGTATTCAACACTGGCTTTGTAATGTAAAACCAAGAGTTAAATTAGAATGAAAAAATACAACTTCCGATTTGCAATCTTAAAGCAGCAATAAAATTTAAAAAATCAACATAAAATGAACTAAAACCATTCTAATTTGTCCCCCAGGATGAAAGTAATATATCCTATAAACAAATGGTCTTCCAAATCAACAACATCCTACTCAAGTTTTTCTCCTTTCAAACCTAGAAAACCTATTAGTCTGGAACTAATTCAGTGCTTAATTCAGTGCTTACTTCCTGGTTCCTGAGCCAATCATATGAGAGTACCAAGGGTTACAAAAAAGATTGCATAATTTGGTATTTTATGTAGGCAAAAGAGCAGCAGCCTGCAAATATGGAAACCAGTGGGAGAAACATCAAAAGTCTTGGAGAAACAAAAAGGCATCCTTCAAACATATTTTCACAACTTACTGAAAATCGTCTTACCGGTACTCATCATCCTCATCTCTCTTGACTGGATAACCTGCACAACAACCGCACATCAGTTGGTACGGTATGTGTTTTGTGTGTTGGAACACAAGGTGTCATTCTTACTTATTGCTCCTTTACAACCTCTGACAGGAGGATAAGGGTAAAAAAGTTTTGGTCATACAATGATTCTGAAAATTAAGTGATAAAAAAAGAAAATTGGATCCTGAATAGAACAGGATGACATTTGAAAGCCCACCAAAGGTGCAATGTGAGGTCATTTTGCAGCTCCCTTGCAGTCACAAAATCTGCAGCTTGTAGAAACTGAAAGCATCTAAGTAAATAAATAGAGGATAAGTGTTGTTACATTTGTAAGACAAACAAATGACAATTTTTTGGTTTCCAAATGGACTTTAAAGGAAGTGGTTGCCACTTAAATTACCCAACAGGTAAAAGAGGATAAACAGGAAAAACTTTTCCCTTCATGGACTTTTAGGAGGAATTAAGAGCCTTTAACAAGCTGAACTTTTATATTGATGTAAGATTTACTACACAAAAATATAGCAGGTAAAATATAATAAAATAAATGAGCTATACCACTTAGTTGTCAATATTGATCTAGATTTCATTCAAATCACTCTTTTGGAAGTGTTAAACAGTTAACACTGTGACAAAGATGGAACAACACTGTATAATGTGAAATGTTAACACTATACCCCAATGTTGAATTTATGTAACAGTATTGTCAAAAGTTAACACCACAAACTAGTGTTAATTATTCTCCTATTCTTGGTGATGAGCTTCATTGTGGCCAAGGCAGCTCAGGGGCACACCAACAGAAGTCAGGTGGCTGTACTCTGGCACCACTGAGCCATCTGACCACCATTGGTGACCAATGCCTGTGAAATGTCTTGTCGGAGATGGACTGAGCTTGGATTTGAACCATCAACCCTCGGAATCCCTTCTGTTTTTGGATTCAACTCCACAGATTAACAACAACAAAGACTAACTATTGGAAAGTTACACTAGACGTCACAGTGTTGAATTAACTGTTTTTTTCTGAAATTATACAACATTAAAATTGAAAATTTATCACATGTGATTTTGCTGTGTATCATCATATGCACATTTTAAAATATATTATCATAAACTTAATCTGAATCAACAGTTGATTTATTTAAAAGTTTATAAATTGTTTTAGAAATGGACTATAACAATACATATCCCAGCACTCTTCTATCTGTAGTGACAATATAAAAAACATGGCTTGAATGGTGAAGGATATATAATGGTATGGACAGCCTAATTGGTAACATCATCGCTGCTGCATATTGCACCTGTATCTCAGCATTCTGGTGCATCATACAATGGTTTGTTGTTTAACAGAGACAGTTGTCTTCTGCAACAAAAGACTTGTTCAAAGTCAGCCATCTGGGAGAGTTTGGACTGTGTGTTGATCTAAAAAACAGAGTCTAGTCTTTTTGAGATTGCTTGTAATGTGTTTTAGGTGCGAATTTCACGAACTGAATTCAAACAGCAAATAACTGCATAGAGAATCCTAAATATAACTAAATAGAAGCAGGCCTAAATAGTCTCAACATGGGTTTTATTTATTTTTTACAGGATGTGCTTAATTCATAGTTTTTTTTAAGCTGTCACACAGCACTCCGATAAGTTGGAGTAGAAATGTAGGTTTTCTCTAACCTACAAAGGATCAAATTATGCAAACAGACTCAAATTTATAATCTAATGATAATTAAGTTATTTGGAGATGTCACCTCTCTGCTACGATCCAAACTGTCAGCCAACATTGAAAGGGAAAATCGTTGGAACTTTTCAGGAAAAGCCAAGAACGACCAATGATCAAGTTTTATTTTTTCATCCTGTTCTGTTGTTGTTTTTTTGTCCTATTTTTTTTCCATCTGAGCTATAATGTGAAAAAAGGATCAGAAAATGTAACTTAAATGACAAGCTTCAAATTCTATAAAGTGTTAAAATTTTCTTTAAATTAAGAGAAAGTCTTTATTAAATTAAGATGTTTGGATCATTTTGAGCATTTTAAAGTAAGAACAAATATTAAATATAGATGTGTCTCAGTTATTAGTGTGAAGCTTTGGAATGGACTTCCAGAAAATGAACTATGTACTTCCTTGTCAATTTTTAAAGAAGGCTCAAACAGAAAAGAATAAGTGACTATCATCAAAACATATGAGAAAAGAAAAATATGAGAACACAAATCCAAATTTTGTTTTCATAAGTTAGATATTTTGTTTTCATAAGTTAGATTTCCATATGATAGAGTATTGTAAAGCTGTATTAGCATTATTTCTCTGCAACATAAAAGCTTTGTGCATGTGCGCATATGTATATGTGTATGTATAGAATCTTTTGCCGTCTTCAATTTCTTTTTGCAATAATTTAAATTAACCAAAAGTAAAATCATCATCATCAAGCTTGTTTTTATTTTATTTTTTTAAGAAACATTATTTGTGGTTTCAAAAAAGCTGTCAACATGTCTTTAAACCCTCACATCAATTGACAAGAGTCAATTACTTCTCTGCTGCCCATTCTGCACGGATGTCATCCTGACTGTTTACATCATCTCAACTGCAGCATAGTGTCCTGCATATGCCTGCTTGTGTTTATTACTGAGAGAAAAAAAACTGCATTGCTATACCTTGGGCATCTGCCTTAAGTGTGTGAAAAAAGGAAATTCATTGAAGTCAAGTAGTAAAAACAACATGCGTTCAATAACAAAACCTTTGTGCAGTGTGGGACATCTGAGTAACAGGCTTCATGCAAACACAACAGGAACAGTGACGGACTGTAGCTTATCAACTGGAATCTGAGTAATAAAATTAACAATAAAATAACAATAAAATGATCACCCTTTTTTCTTTAGTATCTAGATGTTTGTTACCTTATTAAATAATATTTGCAAGCATCACGGTTTGAAAATGAGCTTAGATTAAAATATCCCTTTGATTGTAAAGCTAAGGGTGTATTCAGTTAACTAAAAGCTGGTTATAAAATTGCTTTGTTTTATTTATAAGACTATTTAGCTACCAGATTTTTCTGTTTTTAGGCATTAAAAAAGCTGTGCAGCTCATTGTTCAACTTGTGCTGAAATATAGAGACAGGTGACTATTACACTTTTATAGTAATATAGTAATATTATTATTGATCAAACTGTAATTCGTTTTGTTTCTGTTTTTATTGCTTTTCTTTATGTGTGTATCACTGCAGAGCCAGCCTGCAATTTACAATAAAAGCTGTACACAATGAAAATAAATTATATTCTGTTCTTTTAATTATGCATATGATTTTCTAAACATTGCTTCTTATTGAGCTATATTAACCTCACCTTCTCTAGTTTTATATTTGTCTTTTTTGTTTGCATGATTTCTGCATTAGCATTTAACTCCTGAAACGTAATACTTTTTTAAACCTTCTGACTGTTTTCTAAGTTTGTCTGAACATTATGTTTCTTTGCTGTAATTGTTGTGTTTTTTATGCCAATAGCTCAGACCACAGTCTGATTGGAGTGCTGTGTGCCCACCCACAACAGAGAAAGCCCCTGCTCTTAATCAAGACTCCTGGCAAGCGAAGCACACTGCGTGTCCTATTGTTTGGGATGTAATTTCACATTTTGTCCCCCTGAATGAAACAATAATTGCTGTAAAACATCCAAATTTAGAACCTTGCAAATAGTTAGAATACTCTCTACCTTTATCTGGCTGCAAATCTTTAAATCTTTTCACAAGGCTTCTTATACACCAGTAGGTAGACCAGAAGTGGTAAACAATGGAGCATTGCAGTATGTATTTACACGAAGGGGTTGCTCTGCAGCTACAGGGTTTACCCTAAGTTCTCCTGTGTATTTTAACAGGAAAAGGACTGTTACAGCAAAAAGAGCTTTTGTTGAAACATAGATTATTTAAAGGTATATCATCAAGACACAGGGCTGATTCAGTGTAAAAAAAAAAAAACAGAGCTCTGCAATGCTGCAAAGAAATCCAGCAATGGCATGAGTCGATCAGAATTGCATAAATGCGCTTATGTGCAATTTATGATTATATGTAAAAAAAAATAATTCTTGTTTTATCAATTCATGTAAACAAACTTAAAAGAATGCCTGAAATGATAAAATCTTCCACTGAATATTTTCTTACCTTCAAAGTGGTTCCGTGCTGACCTGTCAGGATGAGCCCTCCTGTCCCAGCTGAAGGTATCTACACCAATAAAGAATTTGAGTCCAATCCTTTTTTATGTCAAGAATGTGGGAAGTTTTACTAAAAATATCTAAGTGCAGAGCTGGGCATGCACAGGGAACTGTACACGTGTTTGTGTGGGAGCTTTAAAGGAGGAATTGGAAGGCAAACTTGTCAGCATCCCTTTGGCTGCTTGGATGAAGATGTAAAATCTTCTCAGCCTGGCAGTAGAAGCCTGCATCCTTTGTCAAAGACTCTCCATGGCTTCCAGCTGAACATCTCCAGTATGCTGCATCCACACCTCCTCCTCCTCGCCAACAGGAGAAGGTATTTCCTTAATCTTTGCTATGGTTACTGTGTCAGCTTTTGCTTGTCATTCCGACTTTACCTCTGTCTCCTCCTCTTCTCCTCTCTGTCCTCTCCCTCTCCTTTTTTCTCACTCCAATGCTTGTATAGCCTGATAAACTGGGTCCTAAAGCCTGCTGGTACACTACCTGGTGCTATTTGTCATTTCAATCACTAAGTGGTCCCCCTAAGAACAGTAAATGGACAGACATGAGAAGAGAGGGCATTTTGCCTTTTCTTTTTTCTCTAAGAGGATTAGTGAGGTTACGGCTTGATTTTGGGTTTAGATTATGATTGGGGTTAGAACCATGATGATGTTAAGGTTAGCAGTAGCGGAAAAAATATGTGTGTGGTCTTCAAAATTTTGGACAAAGTGCAAATTTAATAATTGTAGACTACATGCAGATTAAGAGGAGGAATTTCAGAGATTTTGAAGGGGGAGAAAAACACAGGAGTGGATGAATGTGAACACAGAATGAGGGGAGAGTTTCTCTCTGTGTGGGCTGCTCTGTGCAGTTCAGCGCTTCACCCCCTTTCACCCCAAGCAACGATGACTCCACTCTGCATCACTCCTTTCATGTCCACCTCGGCATGTGTCCGACTTCAGTCTCAAAGGTCAGGCCACATTAAGATCTTTAAGATGCAGAAATAGCCCCCACTGCTTTGGGCTCGTGCTGATTTTTCCTCTTTTAAGGGAGGATAAAGCTGAGGCGTTAGTGGACACCAGCAATCTAAAATCCACAGGGCTTACGCTGAGTATTTGATGAGGTGCACTGATCTTAGCTTCAATCCTCCCCCCCTCCCCCATAAATGCTTTAAATGTTTTTCTGTTGTTTGGTTTGTTGGATCTGGTCGGCTCACCAACAAAGCTCCTAACCAAAGGTCCATTTGTCTTTGGCCTCTCAATTCATTACAAGATCAATAAGCCCTATTTACTCTGAGAACATTCGTCACTCATAAGTCTATTTTCCACCTTTTTCTTTAGTCTTCTCTCTCAGTCTTTCTCCTCTCTCCTATCATCCTTCACCATCACCCGCTCTGTTTTATACAAAACCATGGGGGGATGGGAAGAAGATGGGAGGACCGATTTGGTGGGAGGAATGAAAATAGGACACTAATGATATTGCGTCGGGTGAGATCAGCATATGTTTTGTTCTCGTCTGACCAGAGGTGATCTCAGAGTAACAAAAATCTCAAACAGTATATATTTTTCTCTTATTAAAGCCTAAAATAAATATACTATAATTTTAAAAAATGACAGAAAATAAATTATTTTTTACTAACAAGAGTGAGGGATTATGTGACTTTTCTTATGCATTATTCAATTGAAACAAAAAAATGTATTAAAAATTTCTCTCGTAACACATACTTTTGGTTAAAGGACCCTTTAAAAAACTTAAGACTTACTTTAATTAGCTGAATTTTCCAACATTCAATCCCTTCAGTTTGAGCCATAGTTTGCATAGAAGTTGCATCATACAGAGGCATCAGTCAGAAGTAGAGAGCAAGAAATATCTGACACACACTGACTTGTTCTGCACAAATAAAACACCTTTTTCACAGAGAGAGAGAGAGAGACTTCGGGGCTTTCTTAACATAACTGTAAATTTGGAACTATAGAAACAAAATAACCAAAATCGAGCAGTGTACCTACTAAAAAAGCTGAATATTAAAAGAAAAAGATACATTTTAGCACCAAAGTAATTAATGAGCATCAACGTTTTATTAAAATAAAATTTTGTAGAAAGGGATCAAGCCTAAGTCAGATGTGACGTAGAAAAATATAAGTCTGTTGTCACTTTAAGATTGCCCTCAACCAGGGGAGTGGGATTCATTGAGGCCAGACAGGAGTAAAAGGATGAGGGGCTGCAGTAGATGACCATAGATTGAGAAGGAACACAGGAAACAAAAGTTCTGAGGTGATGGATCCAGACAAGAGATATTAGCCAGCAATGGTTGACTATCAGGCAGCAAATTCCAGCTTCCAGCACCTGTCCCTGCTCTTTCTTTCATTGACTCAGAACCATGATAGGAAGCATACAGGCTTCTTCTCCTCCCTCCATCCTTTCTACCAGCCCTATTCTGACAGGACTTATCATAGCGATCGCTGACACACGTCTACTTTTGTCTAAAGAGTCCTTAGTAATTTTCTGTATTGAGATTAAACCAAAGAGTAATCACTCTGCAGCAATCAGGTGATGAGCCAGAAAGAAAACAGGTGTGCAGAGTCACACCCATCAGAAAAGCTCCCAGGCTCAAATCCAGAGAAAAGCTAGAACTAACACAACAACATGTTGAAACAGAGATCCCCTTCTTAAACTAGTAGATATGTAAAAGTGTTTTGAGGTCGACTGGATAAAAATACAAGATTCTTTTCAAAGCTTGAATCGTTTTGATGGACTAAGCTCACATTTCTTGCAAACTTAACATGGGTGTGAAGACTTTTGAGATACAGTATATGGAACAAAAACATACCAGAGACTGAGCTTTGAGCAATGGTAGAGCAATATTTTTAACCGTGGTCATAACAGCATACTATCCCAAATGTTATAGAAGTTTCCCCCTTTAACACATCTGCTTTAGATGATTACAGCTCAATATGAGCCTGTGATAAACCAGAGAAACAGTAAAAATGTGCAGGGCATGTCCATCTTGAGGTAGTGAATAATCGCCTCATACAAGGAAGATTTAGAAGATGAAAATGTGAGGAGAAGCTGAGGAAAGAGATATCCCTCTTTATTGAATAAGATGTAGAGATTTTGGAGCTAAATAAACATATTAATCAAACATTGAGGAAGCGACAAAAAGTAAACAAAACAAGTCAGCCAGCAACAAAAGATATTAGATTAAAAATTACAATTAAAATCTACAGAAGTGCTTCTACAGAGAAGTTAAAATGTTATCAGAACTTGGGGGCACTTGCATTAATAATGACACACCTTTCCTCAATAGTTAAAAATTAATAAGGGATGTTCAGTTAAAACATGTAGGAAAACACGTCTTGGATTTAGATACAAACCACATAACATTAATTTCCACTTAATAAAAAAAGTGGCTTCCTCAAGAGAATCAATAATTAAAAGGGTCAGTTTGTTAAAGTGAAGTTTTGTGGAGCAAAACATCCTCATGGAGGCTAGTCTAGATCATGTTTTAGTAAAAGAGACATTTTTTGAAATGGTTGTTTTGCAATAACTTTTTTGACCGAACCAGTTTTTAAAAAATCAGTTATAAAAATTATACTCAATGCATTATAACATTTTAACTGAGGCTTAGTTTTCAAAATAAAGTGTTTTTGGAAAGTCCTTTTTAGATTTATGTAAGGTTAAAACATTTGTATTAAAAATTTTGTTTATTGGAATGACTTTTTTTTAGCATCTTAAATGTCATATTTTTTTAGCCCTAGGGAAAAAAATAAAAAGGTTTAACAGAAGCTATTTTGTTTAATTTAAAGAATTGAGCTGCTGATGACAAATTTAATATCCTTATAATTAAAATAAATGACTGATTACATTGAGTTTCCTGACAAGATCTTGTATTTAATCTACAATGACCTGTATTTATAACTTCTAAAAATCAACTACAGGATGTAAAATAAATAAGGCTGTACCAACTATGAATTTTTTCACCTCATATGCCGAATAGTGACTCAACATTTGTCATGATCTTGGCGCTGATGACTGGTATGATTACTCATTTCTCTCTCTTGCCTATCTCTGCCCATATCTCATTACCATTCATCTGATCCACCTGCTTCACTCTCTTTATAACCAGCCTTCAACCTGTCATCAGTGCCAGATTATTCAGTGTACTTCAGTGTACTTCAGTGTTTTTGAGTGCCTCATCCTGACCCGTTCTGCCTTTGGACCTCTGAGTCTGCCTGTTCCCGTTCTGATCTGTCTGCCTGACTGTCCTCTGCCTCCTGCTGGATTTCTGCCTGTCTGTGTACTCAACCTGTTACTGTTTCCTGTCCTGGATTTCCCTTCACTACCTCTTCGGACCTCTGATCTCCTGGCCCTGACTCGCGAGCATCTCTTCCACACTGGCCTTGACTTCGCCATCTGGATTATCCTGCCTTCCTTCGTCTGCTCGGTTCTAAACTCCTGCTTGTCCTCCGACCTCCAGGACCAGCACTTATAATCTTAGAGGCGAAAATCGATTATAGCAACCAAAAGTAAGAACTAACTTGAAATCAATGTGCATCTCAAGTCGTGGTGTCATCCTCTGGAATAGTTTAGCGGAGGAACAAATGTGTTGTGAAAACATTTACCATTTCAAAAAAAATATTTATGTGGGATGTCCTAAGAAAACACCTGGAAGAGAGTGAGTGATGTTCTATGAGGGTGGTGTGGTGTAGGGAGGGGGTTGCAGGGATGGGGAGCATTGGGCCAGTGTGTTGTCTTGTATGCATGAGTGTGGATGTGTTGTTTGTCTTGTCTTTGTCTTGTCGTTTGCAGGTCTTGGGAGTGTCCCTGAGATGAACGGGAGGGGATTGGACATGTATAAGCTTTTGCTTCTTCCATCCCCTTTTCAAGCCATGCATATATATTGTTTGTCATTATTGTAAAATGTGTGCAGGTTTGAAATAAACTTTAAACAAAAAACAAATATAAAGTATAACAAGCAGATTGAAAAGTTCAATTAAGAACAATGTGGCTTGTTTACGAGTAGAAAAGTGATTAAAGTAGCCTTGTGTGCAAGAGTTAAAAAACAATGGTAAGAATCATCAAAGGGACAATTTAGCAGGAACCAGATGAGGGAAACAAAATAAAGACTATAAGGAAACATAAAAAAAATAAATAAAAATAATAATCAGTCTAAAGAAAATAAAATACTAAATATTACACAAGGATTCTCCCAAACTGAAAACATGAACCCTTTAATGTCAAGATTTTTTTTCCCCCCTAGTTGCTTTGAATATTAGTAATGTGTTTATCTTTTATATATAATTTATAAGTGATCCAGGTTAGTTTCATATACGCATTCAGGTTTTACAAATTCTAGTGTTTAGTGTTAAGGATGGTCCTGTGGAAAGAGTAAGACTCTTATCTTCTTACATGCTAGTATTTCTTT